ATTTTTGTCTTTTTATTTGTTTGTGTGTTGTATCATGTTTATTGATTTGTGAATATTGTACCAGGCTTGCATCCCTGGAATAAATTCCACTTGTTCATGGTGTATGATCTTTTTAATATATTACTGGATCCGATTTGCTAATATTTTGTTGAGGATTTTAGCATCTATGTTCATCAGGGGTATTGGCCTGTAATTCTCTTTCTTTGTAGTGTCTTTATCTGGTTTTGGGATTAGGGTAATGCTGGCTTCATAAAAAGAGCCTGGAAGTGTTCCTTTTTCTTGGATATTTTGGAATAGTTTGAGGAGTATAGGTGATAGTTCTTATTTGAATGTTTGGTAAAACTCCTCTGTGAAGAATTCCGGACCCAGGCTTTTGTTTGCTGGGAGTTTTTGATTACTGCTTCTCTTTCATCAGTTGTTATTGGCCTATTCAGGTTTTCTGATTTTTCCTGATTCAGTTTTGAGAGATTGTATTTTTCTAGGAATTTGTTCATTTCATCCACATTGTCCAACTTGTTGGCATATAGTTTGTTCATAGTATTTTCTTACAATCCTTTGTATGTCTGTAGTGTCAGTGCTTGCTTCTCCACTTTTGTTTCTGATTTTATTTACTTGGGTCCTCTCTCTTTGTTTCTTGATGAGTCCAGCTAAAGCTTTATCAATGTTGTTTATCTTTTGAAAGAACCAGTTCATGGTTATATTGATTATTTTTGTATTTTTTTTGTCTCTGCCATTTATTTCTGCTCTAATTTTTTCCTTCCTTCTGCTTACTCTGGGCTTTTCTTGTTGTTCTGTTTCTAATTCTTTTAGTTGTAATGTTAGATCGTTTATTAGAGCTTTTTCTTGTTTACTGAGGTATGCCTGTAATACTATGAACTTCCCTCTCAGAATTGCTTTTGCTGTGTCCCATAGATTTGGGGGTTGCTGAGTGTTCAAATTCATTTATTTCCAGGAAGTTTTTTATTTCTTTTTTATTTCATTGGTAACCCTTTATTGTTTAAAAACATACTATTTAGTCTCTGTGTGTTTGAATTTTTTTTAGTGTTTTATATTGTGATTGATTTCTAATTTCATGCCACTGTGGTTTAAGAAGATGTTTGATCTGATTTCAGCTCTCTTGAACTTGTAGAAACTTATTTTGTGTCCTAACATGTGGTCTATCTTTGAGAATGACCCATGTGCACTTGAGAAGAATGTATATTCTTCTGCTTTGAGGTGGAATGTTCTGTAAATGTCAGTTAAATCCACCTGATGTAGTGTGTTGTTTAAGGTCTCTGTTTCCTTGTGTGTGTTTTTTTGTCTGGAAGATCTATCCAGTGTTGTCAATGGAGTGTTAAAATCACCTACTATGACTGTATTGCTATTGATCTCTCCCTTAAAGTTCGCCAAGAGCTTTTTTTATATATTTAGGTGATCCTATATTGGGTGCATAAATGTTTACTAGGGTTATTATTTCTTGATGGATTGATCCCTTTAGTATTATGTAATGGACTTTTTTTTGGTCTCTTGTTAAGGCTATTGCTTTAAAGTCTATTTTGTCAGATATAAGTATTGCTACCCTGCTTTTTTTTTTTTTCATTTCCATCTGCATGGAATATTTTTTTCCTCCCTTCACTTTTATCCTGTGAGAGTCTTTTGTTCTGAGGTACGTCTTTTGTAGATAGCATATTTCAGTCATGTTTTCTTATCTATTGATCTACCCTATGTCTTTTGATTGGAACATTTAATCCATTTACATTTAAGGTTACTATTGATAGGTACTTATTCATTGCCATTTTTATTCTTTAGGCCTATGTTTCTCTCTATATATGTTTCTTCTTATTACAGTAGTGCCTTTAACATTTCCTGTAGTGCTGGTTTGATGATAATAAACCCCTTTAGCCTTTTTTTTGTCTGAAATTCTCTTTATTTCCCCATCTATTTTGTATGATAGCCTTCCTGGATGGAGTAGTCTTGATTTCAGATTCTTTCTTTTCATTACTTTGAATACTTCATGCCATTCCCTTCTGGCCTGTGGTGTTTCTGTTGAGAAATCAACTGATAGCCTTATGGGAGCTCCCTTGTAGGGCATTTACTCTCTCTCTTGTGGCCCTTAAGATTCTCTTTTTGTCCTTAATGTTTGACATTTTAATTATGATGTGTCTTGGAGTGGGTCTCTTTTGATTCCTCTTGATTGGTACCATTCATGTTTCCTGAACATGTGTGGCTTTTTCCTTCCCCAGCTTAGGGGAGTGTTTTGTCATTATTTCTTTCAACAGGTTCTCTATCTCTTGCTCACTCTCTTCTCCCTATGGGTACACTATGATCTGAATGTTGTTTTGTTTCATGTTGTCCCAAAGTTTCTCTAAATTATCCTCATGCTTTTAGAAAATACTTTTTTTTCCTTTTTAAAAAAATATGTATTGTTGAGAACATTACATATATTTCCGCCCCCCCTCCCCCATTATCCCCTTCCACCTGGTTCCCTCCTTGCCCCAGGCCTTCACCACCCTATTTTCTGTGTCCATAGGTAATGCATATATGCATATATGTTCTTTGGTTAATCTCTTCCTGCCCCCCTTTCCCCTTCCCTCTGAGTTCGTCAGTCTGTTCCATGTTTTAATGCCTCTGGTTCTATTTTATTCATCATTTTATTTGTTCACTAGATTCCTTGTTCCTTTGATTTCTAGCTTCAATTGTTGATAGATATGTATTTATTGTCTTTTTTTTTTAAATATATTTTATTGATTTTTTACAGAGAGGAAGGGAGAATGCCTCTGGTTCTATTTTATTCATCATTTTATTTGTTCACTAGATTCCTTGTTCCTTTGATTTCTAGCTTCAATTGTTGATAGATATGTATTTATTGTCTTTTTATTGTTCACGGTTTTTATCATTCTCCTCCTCCTCTTCCTCCTCCTCCTCTTCCTCTACTTTCTTCTTCTTCCTCTTCATCTTCTTAAGGAATACCCTTCAGCATTTCATTTAATACTAGTTTGGTGGGATGAACACCTTTAGCTTTTTCTTGTCTGAGAAGATCTTTATCTGCTCTTCAATTCTAAGTAATAGCTTTGCTGGGTAGAATAATCTTGTTTGTAGGTCTTCGTTATGCATTACCTTGAGTATTTATTGTCATCTCTGTGCACCACCACCAGCCTTTGTGTTTAACTTTTAGATACAATTAGTAGGGTAAGCATTCGTGGGAGGACACATGTGTCTGCAGTGTCCTTTAAACAAGGACGTCTAAAGATTAGGCATAAATATTCCGGTAAACACCCAAGGGTCTATACCAGCCGTGGGCAAACTACGGCCCGCGGGCCGTATCCGGCCCGTTTGAAATGAATAAAACTAAAAAAAAAAAAGACCGTACCCTTTTATGTAATGATGTTTACTTTGAATTTATATTAGTTCGAACAAACACTCCATCCATGCTTTTGTTCCGGCCCTCTGGTCCAGTTTAAGAACCCATTGTGGCCCTCGAGTCAAAAAGTTTGCCCACCCCTGGTCTATACTTACAGACTTGTTGGGAAAGGTCGAGGAACAATTAGGGGCAATCACCTTCAGCCAACTCCCCTAGGGAATTCCAATAAACAGGGGTTGGTGCCTTCAGCCAACGCTCCTTGGTCAGAATTTCCTCCTTACAGATTTTCCAACCAAGTCTTCCGTGCTCCCCCACAATTATGTCAATGCTTTTCACAGCCAAGCCTTGAGGTAAACTAACATTTTGCTTTTCCTGCAGTCTGTAATTATTCTTTAACATTTTTTTTTAGTTTTCTGTGTATTCACAATATTTGTCTCCACGTTTTATTTGCTGTTCCCTGGAGAATTCTAGGGTTTGAGTTGTCTTTTTCTAGCATTGAAGTATCTGGTGCCACTAGCAGCTTCCGACTGCCCCAGCCCCCACGCCTCTTTTCTGGGCCACATCGAGTGGAGTCAGGGTCCCCAGACCATCACTGGTCAGCGTCTTTCTGCCCTGTTCCGCTGGCCACTGCTTCCCATTCTGAAATAGGAAGGGGAGTTTAACTGCTCCTTCGCCCACTTCCTGCCACTAACCACTGGTAAACACCCTGTGTCCTCCGAAGCTCACCCTCAGTCCGTCCACAGGCCCAGTTCTGTCCCACTGATGGCATGTTAGCTGAGCAACAGAAATCAGCTGTTGATTTGTTGGCCTGTGGGGAAGAAAGAAACTAGTGGAAGAATACTGAGATACCAGGTGTGGGAAAAGAGATAGAGACCATGATACAGAGATAACATAATAGAAAAAGGGTCAGAATAACACCAAATTGGAAAGAAACCTTGTGTGTGAGCTCTGGAGACTCAGGAACAGTGGCTAGTGGGTTGGTTCTCGGATGCCCTGTCTTAATGTACTGTGGGCCCTCTGGCACTTGGGCTCTTGACCTCTCCAATCCAGTTCTCAGAATCCCGGGAAGAGACCATGGAATCAACCCAGCTTGGGCCACTGGTTTTCCTCTGGGCGTGGGCATGGGCCTGGGCCTGGGCCTGGGCCAGGGCTGGCCTGTGGTGGTACTGCTGGGTTCATTGTAGGGAAGTGGGTGTCCTGGCCAGGGCAGCTGCAGATATGCAACACAAGCCATTCATATCCACAAGCCCGATTAGCTTATCGTGAAACTGACTACCCAGGTCTGGGCGAGATGCTCCGTGTGGAGGCTCTGTGTGCAGCCATTCGTGGCCAGGTCCCAGCCGGGTGTGTAGTGTTGGATCCCGCCTCCCTGCCCAGCCTTCCTCAGCTGAGCTGTAGGTCACCACCGGAAGTGCAGCAGACATACCGGCCAGTCCACCTGGTGATGCCACCCAGTCCCCCCGAAGTCTCTACACACCCACACTCAGCCACCTCCGTGGTATTCCCTGCCCTGCTGTTGATTAGTCCTGTGAGGATGGGGATGGGGTCCTTTCACCTGCATGTCCCAGGGTGTGCTGGTTGAGGGATGAATGAAAAGAATGTGTGTTTATGAAATAAACTGCTCTACATAAGTTCTTATATTAATTTTGTTGTTGCCCAGGGCATGGAGATCTGGTCGAGCCCTCTACAGCCTGATGCTCTGGTGAATTTGGTGACTTACCCTCAGCTGCAGCTGGTTGTCACCGTGGACGCACAGGGACTCATCAAAGTGTGGGAAGCAGAGAGCGGGCGGGAGTCAGCCTCCTTCTGCCTGCCTACACACTCGTCTGCATTGGAGGCCTCTGACCATCCAGAGGGCCCCTTCCTGCTGGTGAGTGACCCGGCTCTCAGGAGCCTCTGTGGGTGCTAGCCGTCTCCCAGCCAAGGGCACAAAAAAGTTGGAGTGCAGGGCCACGGAGAGTTGGAGCTTTGGGTGGATTATCAGGTGTTGCAACCTGGCAGTAAGGCTGGGCTGAGAGTAAACAGTCTTTGCACCTGCTGCAGCTCAGCACTCCTATCACCTGGTCAGAGTAAATGAAAACCTTTCTGGAAAAGGATACCAGTATCCCAGGCCTCACATTATTTCTCTTTTCAGACATAGCAGCCATCACACACTTAAAGCTAACTAGGGCATAAGAATAGTACCAACTAACCCTGGCCAGGTGGCTCAGTTGGTTGGAGTGTTGTCCCGTGCACCAAAGGTGGTGGGTTCCATTCCTGGTCAGGGCACATACCTGGTTGTGAGTTTAGTCTCCAGTTGGTTCAAGTACAGGAGGCAAACTGGTCAGTGTTTCTCTCTCTCTCCCTTTCTGTCTCTGTAATACCAATAAAAACATATCCTCAGGCAGGGATTAAAAATAAAAGCATAGTACCAACTAGAACTGGCAGGATAAACAGCAGACAATGTTGAGAGAGCCATAGGGGCTTCAGATAGTGTGGTTATTAGATACAGACAATAAGACACCAATGGTTGCTATGATCAGGGAAGTGAATTTCAGCAGAGAACTTAAAGCTATAAAAAATGACATAGACACAGACAACAGCATGGTGATTACCAGTGGGGGCGGGTTGTGGTGGGAGGTGGAATAGGAGAAAGGAAGGATAAATGGTGATGGAAGGAGACTTGACTTTGGGTAGTGAACACACAATATAATATACAGGTGATGTATCATAGAATTTACCCCTGAAACCTATATAATTTTATTAACCAATGTTACCCCAATAAATTAAATAAAAATTGTTTTAAAAGCTATAAAAATGATCTAATCTAATAAAAGACAAACATGCAAATTGACCGTACCTTCACTATGCTGTAAGCCACACCCACCAAGCCAATCAGAGCGACTATATGCAAATTAACCCAACCAAGATGGTGGCCGGCAGCCACGGAGCTGGAGCGAGCAGGAGGCTTGGTTGCACCAGTGATGGAGGAAGCCAAGCTTCCTGCCTGCTGCCGCCGGCTCTGAGCTCCACTGAAGGCAACAAAGTTTCAATTATAGAAGATAAATAAACCCCAGACACCTGCTTTCAGCTGGCCGTGGCCACGGAGCTGGAGTGAACAGGGGATGCCTGAGATGCTGACTTTTTAACCGGCTTCTTGGGAATATTGGGGCTGCCAGTTCTTTTGAGTAGCAAGACCATAAAGGATCTATGAAAAAACCTAGTATTTGAAATCCCGGGAGTAGGCGAGGCACCCCTTTTCTGTAGTCTTGATGCTGAAGGATAGCCTGGCTGGACACCAGATCCCTGCTCACACTTCTCTTGAATTTTGTGAAAATATTATTTCACTGTTTATGTTTCTGTTGAAAGTCTACAGGTACCTGACTTTACTTGTCAGAAACTTGGATTTTTAAAACCAAAGGCCTTCAAGATATTTTTAAATATTTAAAGTCTAGTAGTTTCATTGTGACATGTCTGCAGTGATCATCCTGGGTCACCCTTTCAATACATAGATTCAGGGTTTTTTTTTATTTCTAGGAAGTTTCACTGTATATGAATTTTAATTATTAATCTGTTAATGAAATGTTAACAGATTAACGCTCTGTAGGAACTTCATTCATGTTTATTTGATCTTCTTGCCTATCTTCTCAGATACTTTCCGATTCAGTTTAGCCTTTCATTCTACTTTTGTGCTCCTACCTGTTTTCTTTCTTCTCTTCTAGTGCCCTTATTTGTTCAGAGAATGTTTTCTCTCTTAGGTTTATTATGCCCACTTTTTCCCTTAATCCTCACCCGAGGATATTTTTCCATTGATTTTTTAGAGAGAGTGGAAGGGAAGGGAAGAGAAAGAAAGAAACAGCGATGTGAGAGAGACACATCAATTGGTAGCCTCCCGCATGCACCCCGACTGGGGCCGGGTACCAAGCCTGCAACCGAAGTACAAGCCGTTGACTGGAATTGGTCCCAGGACCCTTCCGTCCATAAGCCAACGCTCCATCCACTGAGCCAAACTGACTAGGGCTATTATCTTCATTTGTGAAGTAACTTTTTCTTTCTTTTTTCCTAATGTTTTTACTGATTTTTTTTTTTTTTTAGAGAGAGAGGAAGGGAGAGAGAGAAACATTGATGTGAGAGAAAAACATCTATTGGTTGCTTCCCATATGCCACCCGATCAGGAACCAAACGTGCAACCTGGGCATGTGCCCTCACCGGGAATCAAACTGGCGATCTGTTGGTGCACAGGGCCACACAGCCAGGGCGAGATAGCTTTTTCATCAGTATCCTTCCTGAAGTAATTTCTCTTATTTAATATCTTTTTTTTTTATCCGTTTCCATTCTGAGTGTTGAATTTCTGATTCCAGATATCCCTTCATATGCTTGTATTGTGATATTTAACTCCTGTCCATGTGGCTACAGATCTCTGATTTCTGGTTTTCCTTTGGTGGAATAGTTTTATCAGCTTAAATGTGTTGCTTCTCACTTTTTCATGACCTTGTTTGTTGCTGTTTTCTATGCGTTGTGAAGTGTTTGTGTTTTCTTGGCCAGTAAGAACAAGTGTTTTTCAGGAAAAGAAAGTCCAGATTGTGTTCCAGGTGCAAATGTCTGTGAAAAATGTTTTTTTAAAACAGTAGGTGAAGGACAAGCCATTCAAGAAATGGAGCCCTTGACCATTAGGAGAGAGAAGCTAAGCTACTCCCATATCACTCCATCTGTGGCAATACATTTAGAATAATTAAAACTAAATTAAAAGGCAGTCAGCCCTAGCTGGTTTGGCTCAGTGGATAGAGCATCGGCTTGTGGACTGAAGGGTCCCGGGTTTGATTCCGGTCAAGGGCACATGCCTGGGCTGTGGGATCGATCCCTGGGAAGGGGGCGTGCGGCAGCCTATCAATGATTCTCTCTCATCATTGATGTTTCTATCTCTCTCTCCCTATTCCTTCCTCTCTGAAATCAATAAAAATATGTTTAAAAAATGTAAAAGGCAGTTATAAAATTATCCGAGGGATAACTAACTGGTTTTTAAAATCAATCTGGGATGTGCCTGGCCTTGCTAGGCAAGACAAAACCTGGAACTGAAAAAATACACAGATTTACCTAAAAAATTAAAAACATCTGAACTATAGAGTATTATAAAATTAAGACATAAAAAATCAGGAGAAAACACTGTATCTTATTTAACAAAGCATTAATATCATATTTTTTGAAGCATAGAGATCTAGTAGAAAAATAGGTGAGGACATGAATAGTCAACTCATAGAAAAAAGTACAAGTGGCCAATAATGTGTAAAGGAATGAAACCCAACTCATAACCAAGAAAGTAGCATCACAACAAGGCTTTTGACCTACTGGATGAGCAAACACATAAAAAAATCGGTATTGTAATAAGTGTGGTGAAAAATAAATATTTTTTATACATGGCAAGTAAGAATATAGATTGAACACTTTTAATAAAGCTTGCCTTTTTCCTGTTAGAAGTTTTAAATCTGATACTCTTTGGACCTAACAATTCCAGTTGTAGGGACCTCTCGGGGAAATATTGGCATTGCCGCACAAAGATCGTTCATGGTAATGGAATTTGTAAACAACCCAAATTTCCATCATAATGGGATGAAGTAAAAAGTCCTGGAAAAAGTCCTCTGATGAGAAGAAATTGCCAAAGAGTATTTGGAAACAGAAAAGGCAGGGCAGGCTGCAGCTAGCATTTGAGCATGAGGATAGCAAGGGCTTCTGTGTGGAGGGAGGAGAGGGTTTGCTCTCATATTGTTTGAGTAATTCATTACTTTTGACTTAATAAGTGTCATTTCACCCCAGCGAGGAAGGAGTTATGTGGCCACCTGGTCCTTGGGCGAGGACAGGAGGACACAGGTAGTCACTGCACTTCGTGTTGCAGGCAGCCTGTGCCGACGGAACACTCTACACGCTGACGGTGCCCGGGCTGCAGCTGCTGTCCAGGGTGAGCGCGTTCCCAAACCACCCCGCCAGCCTGCTCTGCTCTCCTGACTGCCAGTGGGTGTTCACATTGGCCCAGGACTCAGACCTGAGCCCCAAGGTCAGTGCTAGGCTGTGTCCCTTGTCCCAAGGGCCAGGCTTTGTGTGCACAGGTAGTGGGTTGTGTGCCCGGTCTTGCACATGCATCTGGGAGGGTGGCTTCTTGAACAGGACCACGTCTGCGGCCACTCAGGGCCACCAGCTGGGCAGTGGTGGTGCCGGCCTCTCCCCAGAGCCACTGCTCTTTCCAGGCTGCTGTGTTGCTCCCAGGTTGGAAGGAGTTCGTGGCTTGGCTAGAGGACAGAGTCAGTTCTGAAGGAGCTGGGGCCTTAGGGACACCTTGGTGGAGTGTCATAGACATTCAGTAGCTTGAGAACAGAGCTTCCATGAGAGCGAGGATGAGAGGGTGTCAGGTCAGGCATGAGGAGATGCTGGCAGTGGGGGACAGCATCGTTACCTGGACCGGGCACAGCATGGCCAGCCCATGGCACTGAGCACCACCACCAGCACCAGAGCCCCGGGACCCAGGGAATGTCCTGGTGATTTATGGGCATAGAGACGTCCAGCCTGAGTGCCAGGAACTGACCTGGAAAATTAGAGCGGAGTTGGAGCCCCCTGGAGAGGTCTGAGCCATGCTGGGCCGGTGGATGAGGAAGGCCAGGAAGAGAGCTAGGGCAGGCAGGGCAGTCAGGCGGCAGTGCCGGCACCTGGCAGCCAGGGGAGGTGAGAGGTCTGGACAGGGCAGTGGAGGAGAGAGGTTTCAGGAAGGCAGGTAGCGGGGGGCGGTGGAGGAGGAGGCTTCAG